CTCTGGCCTATGGGGAATAAAGATGCTCTGGGGTATGGGGCACCCCACTATGGCTCGGGGGGATTTATGAAGCTGGCCTCCAAGCAGGGGGATCCCAACATAGGGCTTGAGGCCACAGGGTGAAGTGGATGACTACAGGTGTGGGTTAGACATGAGACCCGCAGGACACCTGTTCGTTCCAGGAGGCCCCAGAAAGGTTCCCACAGGCCCCAAGGGCAGCCTGGTTCCCATCTTCCCACCAAGCCAGGGCTCTGCCGCCTGAGGCCTGGGTCAGGCTTCCTCAACTCAGCCCAGGGATGGCTGTGGTGCCACAGTGAAGCTGACTCAGGGCAGGCGCATGGCAGGGGCACAGGCCATCTGCACGCAGCTGTGTGGGCAGGGCAGGGAAATGCTGAAAGGGCAGACTAGAAAGGAGCTCGGTGGTATAGTGGTCCGGAGTTGGGCTGCAAACCACAAGGTCAGTGGTTTGAAACCACCAGCTGCTCTTTGGGGGAAAGATGAGGGTTTCTGCTCCATCAAGATTTAACCCTGGAAATCCCTCGGAGGCAGTTCTACCCTGTCTCCAGGGCCTCTGCAAACTGAATCAGCTCAATGGCAGTGGATCTGGTTTTGATTTCGTTAGTGACTGGTGGAGCAGCTACTCTGCAGAGAGAAAGCTGAGGCTCTCGGCTCCATCACGATGATCCAGTCTTAGAACCACCAAGGTAGCTCCACTGTGCCCCACAGGGTTGGTTTAGGAGACGGAGTCAATGAGAATGGGGTGTGGTTGGAGAACGATGCAGTGGCCTGGGGGATAACAAACAGCACGTGAGGCACAGGGAAAGACCCTCCGGAGGCAGGATCCTGAGCTGCACCTGCACAAGCCCCACCCAAAGAGGACATTTGGACAGGAGCCCCGGGATTCAAGGAGTGAGAGGCCAGCGCCTCTGGCTTTATTCTGAGAACACGGCGTAGCAGCTCTGACTCCTCTTCGGGTTTGGAGAAGGCTCTCTGGGATCACGTTTAAGGGTCTCAATGTTATCAACCTTGGTGCACCCAGAGGAAAGGAAACCCACCCGCCTATCGCTGTGCAGGGATCCACCTGGGCCGCTCCACACGTGGGGCCACGCTGTACGCAGGAACTTGAGGATGGGTCCCCCACAGCTACATCAACAAAATCAAAAAACAGTAAGATGGGTGCAACTCGCATTGCTGCTTGGAAACTTAAAAAGGCTTTTCCGATGAGAGTCTGGGAGGAAACACCGACAGGGCTTCTCCAGCCACCTGCCACCTCCGCTTCTGGTCAGGTTTGCACGTGGGCAGAGATGCCACCTCAGGATGGGTTGCGCCCCCCCAAGTCTCAGGATGTGGCAGATGAAGCTCACTGCTTGCCTGCCTGCCGGCCTGGCTTCTTCTCCTGTTGGCCCCTGCCTGTGCCCGGGATCCCGCCACGGCCACGGCCACCAAACACACCTGCGGACAGACAAAGTAGCTGCAGGGGCCGGGTCCCCAGTCTGCGGTCCAGAGACCCAGGACTAGATTCCAAGGCCCTAAGTCTGGCTCTCCATCACCCCCCACCCCCAAGCACACACACACACACAGTGGTTTCCTCATCTCTGAGGACATGGTGGAACAGAAGATGGGTGAGGAGTCTGATCCCAGGCTGGCACAGGGTTTCTAGGGGAGGGCAGATGGGCACCCAGCTCACATCTGCTTGCCCAGGAGGGAGGGGCTGGCTCTCCCCAGGTGGTTCTGACCCTGAGGAAGCTCTGAGCTCACTGATGCTGTGCTTTCCACGGCCACAAGCTCGGGGAGGAGGGAGTCCTGGAGGAGGGCGGGGTGGGGTGGCTGAGGCTGGCACGTGGCTCCCATTACAGCAGTGACAGCACTAGCCAGGAATGTCAATAGTGTGCTGAGGCTCCCAGCACAGGGACAGGGAGGGAAAGAAGGAGGGGGGCCCACCTCGGCCAGCGCCACCCATGCCGCGGCCTTTCTGCTGCTTCTGCTGTTGCAGGCCACCCCGGCCGCGGCCCTTTGCCACCACCTCGTCCTTGACCATGTCGATGATCTCGTCAGGGATGCGCAGGTACTTGATGGTGCTGCCACGGATATAGCACTCTGGCATTCGCCAGAACTTGTCTCCATCCTATGGGAGGGCGGCCACCAGTCACAGGGTGCTGTGCATGGGGAAGCAGGTGCCAAGCGCCCAGGATAGACATCTGGCCCACATGACCCCGGGAGCTCCCTACTCTTGGTCTCAAGATCCCCAGTGTGGGGAAGGAGTGCAGCCTGTTTTACAGCAGAAGAGGGGTGACTGGGTGCCCTCCCCGCTGCAGGCAAACCACAGACAATTCTGAAAGGCAACCCAGGCCCCCTGCTCTCCATGGACTGTGTTGCCACCCCTGTCTCAGCACTCAGCTGCCACACAGCCCTTTCATCTAAAAAAAAAAAATCATTTTATTGGG